AGCACCGGACAGAAATCTCAAGGTCCAAATCAGGAGCAGAAGGAGACGGAGCACGAGCAAGGAACTCAGTTAACCTTCTTATATAGCCAGCCTACCAGTCTAGGAACTGCATCACACACAGTGGGCTAGGTTATCCTACATCAATTAGTGATCAGGAAAGTATCTCACAGACTTGCTCACAGGTAAATCTGAAAAAGGCAATTCTTCAATTGGCTTTCCCTTTTCCTGGTTTTGTCAAGTTGGCAACCAAGATTATTCTTCTCATTGAAAACAATAATCCACGACCATGGTTTGTGGAAGTGTTCAAGAAAAGAGCACTAGCAAAAAAAAAATTCTTAACACTTAGAAGTGACAGAAAATGGCTCCTGGTGCTGCAGAAGCATTTGCATGTATAAGACTCTAGAAGAGTCAGTTTACCAGGCCAGGGGTCCCAGATGCATCTATGAGCCAGACAAGAGAGAAGGATGCTCCTCTCAACACAATGGACAGTGCCCACACAATTCTAAAAGTGCTTTCCTCTTTGCCCAGAAATCTAATCTAGGAGTGGCCCAGGCAAAAGCATAGGTGCGCTCTCTCTCTCTCTCTCTCTCTCTCTCTCTCTCTCTCTCTCTCTCTCTCTTTCCCCCCCTCCTTTTCTTCTATTGGGAGTTCTAGACAATAGGATGGTGCTATCTTCATATAAGGTGGGTCTTATTAATTAATAGAAATGACCTCACAGAATTCCTTAGAAATGTGTTTTACTCATCTGCCAAGCATTCTTCAATCCCAATAAGATTAGCCATCATGTTATCCTTCAGGGGTACCTAGATACAGAATCCTGACAGGACACTATTCCAGATAGTAGCAACAACAAGTCAGTCTCAAGTGGCAAAGCATGTGGCTGGACAGGGATTCCTGCTAGCTCACACACTAGATTTCACAGTATTGTTCTGAATCAGTTTGTAGACTAAATCAGAATGCATTCAATATACTAGTAACAGCTGTAAACCCCCAAACAGTCACTCCCCTTCACAAGTCAACTGTCCTCCCTTCCCTCCCCCCCCCTTTAAACTAAATTTCCTTGTATCCTTTTATTGCACAGATTTCAATCAAATCTTTTGAAAGCAGGGCACTGAGTTCCTGGGAGAGTTTTGCTAGTTTCTAGGCTTGGAGAGCCCTCTGCAGGCCAAGGATAACCTTGCCTTTGATACCTGCATGGTCCTAGGCATATCATGCCCAGAGAAGTGACTTCTGGTGGGCATTACTGAACAGGCACAGGCTGAGCTGTATGTTTTCCTGCTGTGAGGGAGAGGTGACTTGTGAGAGAGCATTGGAATGAATCCTTGTGCCTGAAAAAAACTAGCTGCAGATGTCCCAGAAACTCCAAGTGTTTAGCAGAGACAGAGTAGGTTTGGGGATTTCTTACCCAGACTCCATTAAATCCCAGATGTGCATCAGATACAGACTCATCTGTCTACTGGCCTCAGATTCATAATGGGCCTATTAAACACCCAAAGGCAAAGTGGTTCCCCAAACAGATCCTGCACCTTCATGAATGTGACATTCTAGTGAGGAAAAGGGATCAGTAAGATGAAATGGGTAACAAACTTTACAGTGGTAAACACAGACGGAAGGACATAGGAGATCGGCACTATAGAATTTCCTAAACACAGACGGAAGGACATAGGAGATCGGCACTATAGAATTTCCAGGACAGGGTAAGAAACTAAAGCATTTGAGATCAAGTGTCCAAGAAAAGCCTTGGTGGGGAAGTTGACTTTGCAATGACATCCAGGCAAAAGGTGAAAAGCAAGTCCTCAGCTGCCTGGCTTCATACCACCAGGAAGAGAGAATGCACATCCAGGAGCTCCACGGTCAGCATGCTTGTGGACTCAGGCTCACCTGCAAAACATTTTACACTAGGGGTAGGAGAGAACAGAGAAGGAAGCTGGAGGTGTGTGAGGGAGGAGAGGAGATGGGGTGGAAAAACTAGGAAGGCTGCAAAAGTATGCTATTGTGAAGTAAGATGAAGAACTTCAGAGAACAACCCATATGAACTCAAGCAAGCCACTTGACAATAGCTCACATAGCCTTAGGACATGAATAAAATCACTGAGCAGTAAGATTAAGAATCACCTACCATCAAACACCAAATTGATGGCCAGTGAACAATGTCTTTCCTAATTGCCCCTACATCTAAATACCATCTCAGAGAGATGGTATTAATGCCCCTATATTCAAAAATTCAATGATTTTTGAAACAAGTCTGTCTTGGGGAGATTGTAAAATTGTTACCATGGTTCTCCCTGTCTACCTCTGTGCCCTGGAGATGCTGTTCACACAGATATTATAAGCTACTGCATCTCCAAAAATGTGGATACAACTAGAGACAGACGTGAGACCAGGGTTGGGTCCTGGTTCTGCCACCAGGAACTGAATCTCAGACACTGGAGATCTCTAATCCTTGTGGGCTCACTGGTTACATCTCATAGGGCCCATGTCCTCAGAGAAGAATATAGAGGAGTGTCATTTGTTACCTGGGATTGGAAGTCAAAGTGACTTTCACAGAGTTTCGCACAACTTCAGGCTCAAGACCCTTAGGATGTTTGGATGACATTAGAGCTAAATACAACTTGACTGTGACTGATGCTGAGGACAGTGAATCATTTATTCAGCTTTCTAGAATTTCTGCTTCATTCTATCCAAAACTGAGAAATAATGTCTACCTTTGTTCTTTTACATCCTTTTCTGGAGCAAAATACATAAAAGGTCATTCAAAGACAAAAATATAGAACTTACAGAGCGCAGGTTAACTCTAACAGTTTAAACCTACATCTATCTGTCTCATTTGCATTTTGAATCAGCATTTTTGAACCTGACACTATGCCGATATAGATTTCTCAGTATCTCATGGAAAACCCAGTGTGAACGTCCTCGGGCTCTCAGAGAGATGGTATAAATGCTGGGGCAGCTTCGGGGTGGGGTGATTTCTGGTAGGCAGAGCTTCTTCTCATCAGTGCCCCTTGGTATGTCTCTGTCATGTGCCTAGGTGACTCTGTATTTGCTTCTCCTACTATATTCTGATTCACACCATATGCCAGTTTATGATAGAGGAATACTGAAGGCAGCTTGGTCTACTTTGTTCATCACTGCGCCATGTGGTTGCCTGTTCACCTATCCAAAGTCACAGGAAGGCATACGGAACTGTGGGGAGCCAGTCTGACCTAAGTCTTTCTCAGAGGCCCTGATGAAAAGATGAGAGAATCTTTAGATCTGTGCATTTGTCCAGATACAGACTTGGCAAGGTCAGTCTAACACTGGAGCCAGAACCATAACTGAGTTGGGGTCACAGTTTCTGGGGACTTGATTCTTCCCATTGGCTGTGTTCATCAATCCTAAGGCAACTGTATCTGAGGTAACCCATGCTCCCTATGCCAACATTGTCTGACTTAACTCTCTCTTGACCTTGGCTGATTTCCCCTCTGCAAATTACGTATGAGACACTGTACCTCTTAATATACCTGCGTGACATAAGACAAAGTTTATGCAAGATCTCCCGACTCCAGATTTTTTCTTCTCTGTTGTCTACCTTTCTGTCTTTCTCATCCTCTGGCACTTCCCCATTAGGATACCATCACTGAAGAATGACCTATTGGTGCAGGTCATAGAACCTCTGTCTTTATTTGAGTTGTCCAGCTGTGGTCCTCTGAGCTGAGCTCATGATGCCATGGATTCAAACAGTATGCCATGGGCACAGACAGTATGCCACACTATTGTCACTGGTCATTCCTCCTGGGAATGTAGATACCCTGGTGGCTTTCAGTTGAGTAGGAAAAAGACTTGCTCCTACAACATGGGCACACTCCACAGAGTCACTACCCAGGGACCAGGGACACTGCTCCAGAGAGGCTTAAGAGCCTCCCTGAATGTGAAACTCTCTGCATACTTGAGTCCATTAAACAGAGATATGACTGCTAGAATCTTCCGTCACTGGATGCCATCTACTATTCACCAACCAGATTCTCCTGGCATTCAGATAAAGACTTTAACTTTTTTTTAATTTATTTTTTTCATCTAACATACTAGCCCCAGTTCCCCCTCCCTCTACTTCTCCCACTCCCTCCCCACTTCCTCCCATCCACTCCTCAGAGGGGTTATGGCCTCCCTTCAGGAGTCAACAAAGTCTAATACACCAAGTTGAGAAAGGACCAAGTCCCTTTCCCCCTGTATCAAGGCTGAGTAAAGTATCCTGCCATAGGGAATGGGCTACAAAAAGCCAGCTCATGCACCCAGGATAAATCCTGGTTCCACTTCCACCACACCCCCTCCCAACAGATCAAGCCACATAACTGTCATCCACATTCAGAGGGCTTAGTTCAGTCCTATGTACGATCCACAGTTTTCAGTCCAGAGTCTGTGAGCTCCCATTAGCTCAGGTCAGCTGTGTCTGTGGTTTTCCCAATCATGATCTTGAACACCCTCTTGTTCATATGATTGCTCCTCCCTCTCTTTCTTAATTTCAAAGCCAGCTACAACAGAACACCCTAAGCCTTTCTTAGAGTATGCACCCCTAATAACATCCATGCTGTCCATGTCCTCTGATCAACTATGGAAAGAAATCGTTCGGCTCTTAAATGATGCACAATTTAAATGGCCAGCTGTTAAAGGCTTGGTCACCCATCTTTTGAGAAGTTTTAAAGCTTTCTGGAGATGAGGACTAGTGAAAGAAATTTATTTAAGTTACCAGTGTGTTTTCTTAAAGGGAATATTAGGACCCCAGTTGCCCTCTTTCTGGTATCACAAAGTGAACAACTTTGTTTTGTCTCACAATGTCACCACAGTCTTGAAACATTCAGGCCAGGGGACCATGGACTTGCACTTGTAAAACTAGGCACCACAGGAAAGCTTTTCCTCATGGTAAGTTGATTGTTTCTGGCATTTTATTATAGCACTGGCGTTGACGCAGACAAAGTGTGAGTATAACGTTAATATACCCCATGCACACAAATTGTGGTAAAAGAATCAAAGGGTTTTATTATTGTTACTTTGCTTATCATTTATACACACTTATATCACATGTTACACAAAATGCCAACCGGGAAGCAAGTGTAGAAAAATAGTGGAGCTTATTGGCACGAATGATTTTGTTATGACTAAGGTTTTTGTGTCACAGACAATTGGCAAGTTTATTTAGGAAACTGATTATTGTATATATATTCTTTTTCAGCAGAGTAAATATGAGTTAGAAATCACAGTGGCATCAGGCTATACATACAAGTCCTTTCTTTGAGACCATGACAAAATACCTTACCTTTCTTCATCATCTAAATATGCAATATTTGCAAAAATAAATAAAAGTTAAAATAAGTAATCTCATAGCCTTACCCTATGCTATCAAAGGACATTGGTCCAAGGCAGCTCCTTGTCTAAGCATGGCCATGCTTTTGAAGCCATTATGTGCCTCTTATTTGTTTGCACAGCCATGGTTTATCTGCTAATGGGGGGAAAAAGTCCTTAGAGTCTTTAGAAAATCCAAAGACTATAAATTACAGCCAAGTGATATGGCACCGGGCAGGAAGAACTCCTTGGCAGCATAGATGTTGGCACACACCATTCATCTCTTACCATCCACCTCCTACCCTGACACTGATGAGGGAATGGTGGCTCTGCTCAAGGAAGCATTTCAACCTGAGTAGAGTTGAAATCACTTTGACATTTCCTGGGGATCAATCATCTGTATCCAGACCCACCTAGGGAACTAAAATCCCAATATTAGGAGTATTGTTCAATTATAGAGCCACAGGATCATATCCTTATTGTTTTGCCCAACACTCTTACTTCATTCTATCCCAGGATGCTTAAGTAGCCATCTTTTCCTCCCACCAGATTAAAGGAAGCCTTCTAACCTAATACTTTTAATGGCCACCTAGATTTATCACAGAGCCAAAGAAATACCAAATAAATGATATTTATAAAAGAAATATATTCAAGAGTGAATTATGGGGGAAAATGGGTAAAAGTAAAATCATTAACTTCTCATCAAAACATAGAAAATGATTGTGACTACATGAGCTATACTTTTTATAGGAAAATAATGCAAGTATTTTCCTTTACATATGTGTATGTATATACATATAAACATATAATCATACAATGTTAGATATACTTTATTATTAAAGTTCCATGGGATATGAAAGATGAGGAAAATTATTTTTCCATATGCAACAATTTAGCCTGGAGCTAAAAGACATTAAAAAATACCTCTGCAATTGGGAGCAATATAAAGGAATCAGTGACATTTAACAGATTTCAGCTTCCAAACACTGTTAGATATAATTCTTTTTCTAGATGTGAATCAAAGTTACAAACTTTTCCCAACTCTTAATAATGGCTGATGATGCACCCTGAGTAGAAAAAAAAAGATAATCTAACCAATCACACACTGAATTAACTTCCAAACGTGCAGAGTAAAAACACCTAGGAGTCAATATTTCAACTGATAAAAGCCTAAGCCTAACGTTTCATACAAGGGACTGTCCCTCAAGCCATTCTGTAAATCACATTTAAGCCACATAGAACGTTTATTAATTTTTTCCTACAAATTGCCTCCAGAAACCCTTTTGCTACAAAATATTTCCAAGCTTCCCCCAGATTTGCAAATTCCTGATTCAGCAAATTCTCTGTCCTAGCTTCATTTCCCTGTCTCATCCATATCTGAACTGCTTTCCTAAGTGAGAAGGTAGGTTCATCTCATGAAATGAAACTCTACCGTAGGTTATTATCTCGTGACGCTACTGCTTGTGAATTCAGAAGTTCATGGTACCAACTTACAAGAGTGCTGATTTGCTCCTGCATCAATGTCAGTTGCTGTGGCAATATATAAGAAACTGGAGAAAAGGGAATGGGCTTTCAAAACAAAACACATCAAAACAGCGCACACACATACACAAACGCACACATGCGCTCGTACACACACACACACACATCCCATCCCCATTCTGTGTCAAGCAAGGGGCTGAGCCTCAGGTTTTCCAGAAGAACACATATGATGCTCACCTCAAGGAATAATGTGTACATATGGAAGAATTACGAATGTGATGGCAATCTCAAGAGTTAATGAATTTATAGGACCTTGAGAACACAAAGATAAAAGCATGATATTGTGGCTTCAATTTATTCTTTACAGGAACATCTTCTCTGTGGACAATTGAGTAGTGGCTCAAGCCCTTTCATAAAGGGGCTTGATTTGTGGATGAATATATGTCTGCTAGCCTGGGATGAAAATGATAGAAAGTACAGACATCACAGTTTCAGAAACTATGTTGTAGAGACAGAGCAACACAGACATCCTGCCAAAATGGAACACTTCCCCTATTCCCCAGCTGCTCTCACTGACAACGATTTGTGAAGCCACTTTGTTGATGAAAATAATTCTTATGTAATATAACATATTTGTTAGGTAGGTGTTTTACACGGGATATTAGAATCTAACAAGGTTGGGAATCATCTGATATCTGGTTTTGATTTTTTTAATTGTGTCTTTTCCAATCAAGTAACTGGATTAAAAGAAACATAGCCCCCTCCCTCCAAAATCAAATGAAAGCACACTGTTTAAACCTCAACTCCAGAAAAACAAATACTTGACCTCACCCTCAATATCATTTGTACACAATATATACAACACTGAATGACAAGCAGCTTTATGACTAGACTTTAGGCTTTCTCCACAGGAAGGAATTCCATGTTTGTGCAGTGCTGGTCAAAAGCCCAAGATGTGAGAGGTCATAAGCACTAGGGTAGAAACTACTCTTTCCATTTTGGTAAAGGATCATAATCATCCATTTGTCTTCTAAATATTTATGTGTACACCCATAGAGAGGAGTTGCTCTCAGCCTCAGTCAGGGGAGCTGCTTGTTGTGGTGGATTGCAGTCATTGCAGAGATGCAGAGCTGGTCAGAGTGCTGAGAATGAGAGACTGGGGGCTGCCCCCAAATGGGATGACCATAGCAATACTCCACCCTACCTGGGCTCAACAGCCGTTGCAGAAGAGTAGAGCAGAGAAACAAGAATAGAAGAATTGGAGGCTAGGAAAGAATGCTGGGAGATGCTGTCTTCTGGATATGACATGTTACAGGCTCCCATACTTTCACCAACTCTGGTCATTTCCATAAGACCTACACAAGATAAAGTCAGGCAAAACTCCCACATAGATGGGAAGCTGATCTCTGGGTCTCAGTCCTCCTGGGGGAAAGGAGAATTCTCCTTTGAAGGCGCAGCTACTCAAAGGTTTCCAATGCTCTAGCGAATGGCCACATATCTAGGCATGTATAGGCAGTACTGCTAACTGTACTTAATTCTTTAGTTTTAAAAGTCAGGAGGTTAGGAGGAAGAGGACTGGGAGATGATTTTACAGAAGTGCAAAGGAAGAATTGAGGAGAGAAAGTGTGTACGATCGTGTATGAAATTTCTAAAGAATTAGAGTATTCTTTCTAAACAACTATTCCACGTTTTGTATTATCCTATCTGTTGTCAGCTTCTCAGATTTCTCAAGGGGAAGTGCAGAAGTTATGTCTGTATGTACTTCCAAATGACAACAGTTCAGCGCTAAGTGGTGGGAAGAGCACAGCCATGGACTTCCTGCAAGGCTGGGGGATGGGTGGGGTCAAGGATCCCTAGAACCAGCACAGGAGAGGGCTATTTTAACAACCTGGGGCAGGGCTGCCACCTGGGCATCTCATTTCCATTTAGATTCCCTTGTCAGAGATCACAGTGGTAACTTCTTCCTGACATGAGAAGAAAGTGTTGTGTGAATGTGCAATTCTCACACCTCCTTGTGTCATGTCTGCTCAGATACTCCCCACCTATTCCTCAATGTGCCATCGTTTCCTCTTCTTGCTCCCCATCTCTCCCATCCCTTAATGTCTTATTTGGTTCCTTGTGTTGGATGTTACTTCAGACAACCCTTCCCTGGGCCAACTTTTGGTTCAGCCTTCATGTCAAGGCTTTAACATAAAGTGCCCCCAAGGAGGACTTCCTGACAGACAGTACCTTTCTGGTGTAGGCTGCAGTCCTGTCTCTGAGCTCTCCTAGCCATGCAGCTTCTGTGAGGCGCATAAATTTTAGTCACCGCTTGATTTGGCTAAGCCCTGAGAGGCTGGAGTTAGCAGTGCATCTGAGCACGAAGGAGGCCCTCACACAGATGTATCCAGTGGAGGAACAATGTCATGAAGAATGCAATGATTGCTGTGTGCATGGAGAATGGGCTTCTCTTTCCAGTCTCACTTTCATGGCTATCTTCTTGTTCTTCCCCAGACAATGGAAATCAGAATTCTACAAACACCCTGCTCCATCTCAAGGCTCCAGTCCAGCTCTTCCTTGATAAGATCGTAATAACTGGTGGGTCCTTCTTGAGTTCCTGAGAGTTGTACTTCACATGTCTGTGGGGTCCTGTCTGACACAGACAGAAGCTTAGAATGTCAAGGAACTACGGAAATGTATACAATGTGTTTTCCCTTCTACACTTTCCCATGTTCTCAGCACTGCACCTGATTTCAGCCTGCCACTGAGGTCATTACTTGAATCCAGATTGACCTTAGCTTCTATATTATTCTTTGAGTTTATTTGGTTCATGATTAGCAAATTCCAAATAAGCTCAAGGACAGTAATGTTTATTTCTAACTAGTTTGGGGAAACTACAAATCAAACAAACAAAACCTAAAACAGAACTGAGGAAGGAAACATATTGGCTCATTACCTTGACAGGAATTTTGTTTATAATTTTTATAACCAATAATAGAATGTCCATGTTTACATTATACATATATATTATGTATATTGATATATATATTATATATATATATATACTTTAATAGAAAGAGACATAAAAAAGCCTTTTCAAATGAGGCATGACACGCAATACTTGACACTCTTATTTACAGTACGTGACTACACCTTCTACATGGTGAGGGTGGATTCTCAGATGCCAGTTAGGGTTTACAAAGACAGCAGGACACCTAAAAGAGGCGTGCCATGCAGCTGAATGGTTATTGCCATGAGTTCTCACTAGTCCAGACAGCATATTGAAGTTAAAAATGGCATCTGATTATTGGAAAAGACGAGAATCGTCAGACTCATTCTGGCTCCGTAAGTACTATGTGGTCTCTCACATGACAAATGCTGCTGCTGAGGGCTGGAAACAACAGGAAGCAAGCATTTCAGACCAGACAGGCAGGGCTCCGCAGTATCCAGAAAGGAGAACTTGCTACAGATTAACTATGCTGCGGGAAGCAGCAGTGCTTGTCTGAGTCAGAAGATCCTGGGTTGTGTGATGAGGAAAAAAGTGTTCTCCAAGGAACAAATCCAACATGTCAGGGCCACTGATTAGATAAGAGCCTGTGCCAATCCCTGACTCGGGACTTCAGGAAAATGCCCAATGAGAAATGTATGCATCAAGACGAGGATATCAAGAAATGCAGAAAAGATCCTTGGAGAAACCCTGAACCCATTGTAGGTCAACCTTTGCAGAGCTTTCAGCCCCTCCCAGAACCACCCACATGTTTGCTGCCCTGCAAACTAACCATCTGCACTCATTTCCCATGGTCTGAATTTATACACTCTGTGTGTGTGTGTGTGTGTGTGTGTGTGTGTGTGTGTTTATGGTTCTTGCACCTACCCAGACTCCCATGGCTTTCTTACCATGGGATCAGTGACCTGGGAACCTGGTTCAGGTGCCCAGAGCAGACAGGTTTCCATACCATGTAGGGTTTTTCTGGGGGGAAAAAAAGCCCCACAGTCTTTGTCTCCAGTGTGATCATTCATGCTGCCCTGGTTGATGCATTTCATCTAAATGTTCGGTTTTTTTTTTTTGTTGTTGTTGTTGTTTTTTTGTCTTTAGCCTACATAATGCACTTAAATGGGGACAATTTTAAATATCCCGGTTATTTTCAAAACTTCTGCATCTGTCACCCATCAGTAACACTTGAAATTGGGTTTCCATTCTGGCTTTTGTTCTCCAGTCTGATCTCACTTTTGCCTCTGCTATTAGTTTTTACGTATGTGGTCTTTCCTAGCCCTTTATTTTCCTAAGGCAAGAAGACATCACTATTGAAAGATAACAGCACCCTTCTTAGAGCTCCCCTGAGGTTCTTTACCCAGCATGCCTCTCTTAGGTTGTCTTTCTCCTTTCAGGGAGAAGAGAAACAGCTGGCCATGTTAATGGTTTTGAATTGTTGCCCTTGCATTCAAGGCTAATACAGCATGTCTTTGGAAGTGTGTCAGCAGAAGTTTCGCACGTGCATGCATTCATCCGACTGCCTCCTTGTGCCAGGTAGAGCCTCTCTTGTCTTCCCTACTTCGGACAGGACTTCAGGCATTCATTGAAAACAATCTGTGGACCAGGCTATGCATAGAAAAAGTTTAAGGAAGTAAGTGGAACAATTCATTCGATATGTTCCCCGCAGCTGTTTCTGTTTACACCAAACCTGTATTTACCAGTAGCATCGCCTTTATCTCCCCTTTTATTCAGTCGCCCTACCTATTCCTGCTAGAAAACAAAATGTGGATTTATCACGCTTTCCCTTGTCCGTCCTTTAGAAAACATGGAGAGGATAAGAGTGTGTATAGAACAATTTTTGAACAAGTGGTATGTTTGATCTACTAAGGGGGTCATATATATGGGAAGATGCCCCACTTCCACACAGAAGTTAACCTGAGTTCTGAAATGTTTGTGTGCACTTAATAGAATTAACACATGATAAAGCTATGACCTAATAACAGACTGGCAAAATCTAGTTAAGTTGGATCGAGTCTCATGAGCCAGGGTGGTTATAAAGCTGGGCTCACCGATGGCAAGTGTGTTCTGCTTCTTATTTTCTCATATTATCCCTAGAAACAACTTGAATGAGACTCTAGGTAGCTAGACAAATTCACGAGAGCACTGATGTGGTTTACACTGTTTGTTCAGCTTCCTCAATGTCTCAGTTACAAATATCTCTAGTATCCAGCCCCACCCCAGCTTCATCCCTCCATACCCTCCGTCTCCTTCTACTCCACTCTGGAATTCAGAGGTATGGAAAAGCATGACATAGCTAAGAACCGAACTGGTCTTAAACAGCTCTAGCCAGTCACCCAGCTGTTCCCTGGAGGCCCTACTTGAAATAATTGAGTCCTGCCACCAAGAAAAACTTCTCAAGGAAGAGTTCCGAGTCCAGCACAGCGATATGAGCTGCACGGCCAATCAGAGTGTTGGCAGTGTTGGGCAGAGCATGGAACACATTATGTCTGATCAAAGTGCAGTCCTTAGCTTCCACCAGCGGGCCCAGGAGGTTGTTGATCATTTCTGCATACACTGGCCCTGGAAGGAGGGAAGAAAACAGAGGAAGTTAGAGCAGAAGGTTGCCATATAGGCTGGAGACCAGCTCTGCATGTGTGTTGGCAAAGCCCATGAGAGACTGAGTTCCAACCTCATGCTAGTGGGTGCAAATAAATGGGGAATGGAATCCAATTTCTCTCTAGAGATTGCACTTGGTAGGGTTATCGTGGCTTTCTTCTGATGACATAGCTCCCTGGTGTCAGAAGTCATAGCACAAGTGAGAAAGATTCCTAGAAGAATGTCTCCCAGCAAGGGACTAAGATGAAGAAGACACAAGTAAATGTCATCAGAGGTTCAGTTTCTGCTTCAGAACACCATGGGGGCTGGATCCATATGTGAATCATTTATGAAAACTGATACTTCCTGGTGTCAAAATTTAAAGCCAAGCAGCATTTCACTATCCCCTGATTCTGATTAAGTGGGGGAAAGATATAGAGGTTCCTACTATTGGGTTCCTTTATTTTTATAATTAAAAGACTCAGTTGATCGTGTTTCTGTCTAAAAGGTGACTCCGTTTCAGGTTTGCTTTAGAAAGCGGGACATAGAGACATGCAGTAAGAGAAATCATTGAGCAAAGAGCATCTTGTCTACCGGAGTCTACAGTTCACATCGCTCCTCCATCAGCTTTATTCCTGCAGCATCTTCATGACCAACTTTATGCCATACAGAAACACCTGCTGGAATGATACTGAGGGCCAAGGTGGCTTTTTGACTCAGTGGAGAAGGTGGAAACCACAGCTATGACATAAGTCTCCTGGTGTCCATTCCAACTAAGACTTGTGTCCTAAAGTCATTATAGTACTCAGTTTTCACAGAAAAGGGCAACCCTACTGAATGCTCCCATCAAGTCACCCCACTCCAGACACTGCTCCATTCCACACCAACAACCTTACACTGCTCCTCTACCCCTCAACTTATCATTAGGGCCCACCATCGGGGCTGTCTACCTAAGTGGGAGGGTGCTGGACTGAACCATATGCAGAGAGCACTGCTTTTAGCCTCTTATTCTCCTCTTTCAAGGTCTTGATACTTTTGAAGCTGAGGAAGCTAAAATACAAACTGGAATAGTCTTGGATTTCTTTGTGAAAGTATCTGCCGTGATCTTCCAATTTGTCTGAACAGAAATGGCTTGTGGTTGGAATAAAAGGAATTCTGCTTCCAAAGAGCCTCTATGGCTGCTTGAGAATAGCAGCAAATTTATGTCACAAAATCATATGCGCCAAGTACGGCTTTTAGAGAGGACATTGAAGTCAATCCAAAGTCAGCATAAAAGACCTGGAGGATGGGCAAGGGCATGAAAGGATGGACTCTTGGTGTGGCCTGGCTGCTGCGTTCATAATTCAGAGCCGTTGTTGTGCCTGCACAATATGAATCCAGTTAAAAATGAACAGAGAATGAACAGAGAAAAGAGCTCCAGAGGCCCCACTCCTATGAGGACGAATTGCCTCCAGATGGCTCTTGAGGGCTGGAGGCTGAATTTTCTTTAGAAGTGCAGCCCCTGGTAGGTGACCCCAGTTGGTCACCACATACCCATGTGCTTATGAACAACATTAATTGAACTCAGTGGGTTACTAAAAGTAAAGACATGAAGATGGATGGGAAAATGTGTTGGGGAGTGCTAGTGGAAGGGGTTGGAGAGAGGGAAAGGGGGTCGTTATGACCAAGATACATTGTACAAATGTATGACATTTTTAAGAAATAAAGATTAAAACTCTTTATTTTAAAGGAATAGCTGATAGGGTAATAGGTAAGCCATGCTTGTTGGTGTGGTCAGAAGAGTCCCTGCCTCTTTTCACAGATGCTATAATAAGAATAACACCTGCATGTTGTAACATAAAAAACAGGAGAATACTGTTCTACCAATTTTGTAATCTGTTTATATTATATATGCAGTAGGCCCTGAAGCACAATTAATAAAAACTGAGACAGATATTGTTGAGACACATAGTTGCCTTTAACTCAGAGGTGGTTCCCAGTAATTATTTTTAAATATACATAGCGCATCCTTAATTATTTTTCTCAAATAAAGCACCCCTTTCCTGCTGATTAACTTTCAGGCTGGTATAAAATTGTCTGCACAACAATCTGGTGACTAAATGCAGTGACAGAGACAGGGGAGGTCAGGAGATTTACCGCAGAATTTTTAGAAACTAGGATTTTTTTTAGCAATACTTAATGAAAACAAAAGTAATGAAATGAATAAAACCTTCCCACATGGTCAGATAAATTTATGAATTAAGACACGTGGCTTTGATAGCTTATTTAAAAGTGCCATGTAAACATGACCATAGAAAAAAGGGGGTGCTGTTTCTCTCCCTTTCACTGGAAGGATTCAAATCCTAGATGGATATCCTTTAAAGAGGAGCAGCAAGCAAATGTATCCAAAACAGAAGAGAGTGGTATAAAAGGCTGCATCTTAGCAATAGCTTTTGGCTAGTGTTTGACAAACTCTCAGACGCTTGAAGAATGAATTGTTCCAATTCTAGAGGAAAACATCATCTGCAAACCCTACTGGGTACCCAACCTACACCTCTCTTCTCCTCTGTGAAACTGGAATTACATCTCTCACCACGAAGAGGAAATGAAACATGCAAAGGGCATAGAACTGTCCCTGACGCACAAAGACCACAGTGCTCGGCAATTTTGCTCTAATACAGGACAGGCATAACTTGCCAGCACACGCCATAGGCTCACAAGACATCCAGGAGTGTCACCAACACTTGGCTCAAATCTGGAACTGAAGCTTGCAGGGTAAGCAAACGGGTGTGGCTGTGGGTTATATTTAGCACCTGATGCATAAATTTAGGGGCCCTGTATTAAGCATTTACAAAGTTCAAATGTCACCAAAATTACTGGAGGTAAAGAAAATAAGCATGAAAGCTAGTGAATGACCACAGAAGAGAAAGGCTTGGCAATCATTTCTAGCAGCGATATGGTCTTCTAGCACTGATGCATTCTAATCAAGTCTGAGCTTAAAACCAGGTCACTAGCTCTTTTACCCTGGTTTTAGAGTAGAGTAGTGTTCTCTGGGAAAATAATAAATCTAAAAGTCAGTCAATCAGCAAAAAGCATCAAATCACGTTTGGGTTGAAAAATTAGTATTAAATGTCTTTAAATTAATATCTCATAAATGGAAGAGAATCTGATCCTCAGGCACTCTGGTAGAACAGGATAACTTGAATAATTATTTTAAAAGACAATTTGCTTAGATTAATCACTATTTTTGCTTCGGTAGCACTACACAAACACACAAAGGCTTCTACTGCAATAGGATTTTATAATGTTTCTAAACAATAAGGGTCATATAAGTTCAGAAAATTGTAAATTTTTATTTAAGTTGTAATATATTCATAAAATAAGCAGAATATTTTAAAATGATGTGTATGTATATACATATAATAGTTTAATCACAGGCAATGGAGTATAACATCATGCTAAACAACCATGATAAAAAATTATAGCTTTGTGTGGTATGGTGTGGTGTGGTGTGGTGTGGTGTGGTGTGTGTGTGTGCATTGCTGAGTATGTGTGAATATGGGTGAGTGGAGTCAAAGGTCACCCATCATCAGGTGTATTACTCTCTTGTTCTCTGCTTTGTTGTTTTAGAGAGGGTCTCTCACCAAATCTGGAGCTCACCAGATGGCTAAACTCAAGAAGCAGTGAGCCCAAGGACCATTCTCCTCTCAGCACTGGGCTCACGGATAAGCAAAGTCATCCCCAGCCTTTTAATGCTTAGGATCCAAACTCAGGTCCTCAAGCTTGTACAACAAGCACTTCAGCTACTGAATCATCATCAAAGCCCTGGAAATCCACCACTTGTAAGTCGACACATGCATACAAAGAGAATAAAAGAAAATGAGGAGGAGGTAAGGGGGAGTACAGGAAGAACTAATTATGATCACAATTGGATAAAATAGATTTGGCTTCTCCAAAAACTCTATGAATGAATACTTTTCTATTTTTTCCGATTAATGTGTGTATGTGTCTGTGTGTATATGTCTGTGTGAATGTGTGTGTGTCTATGTATGTGTGTTTCTCTGTGTGTGTCTGTGTCTGAGTGTGTGTGCTCACACTCTCAAGTGTGAGTGAATGCATCTCTGTGTTTACACTCCCATGTGTTTGTGAATGTAGCTGTGTTTTCACACTCTCATGTATATGTGTGTATGCATTTATGTATGGCGTGTGTTTTTGGGTATCCTTGGAGGGCAGAAAAGGGCATTGGATTCTGTAGAGTTAGAATTACAGCTGTTTGTAAGCTATCTGATATGGGTACCAGGATAGAACTCAGGCCCTCTGCAAGAGCAATACATGCTCTTAATCACTGACCTTTCTCTCTGATCATTATTAGAAAAGATTTATTTTTAATAGTTTTCTATTTTAAAGAATAATTTTCTGGTCATATGTGGTGGCAGAGGCAGGAGGATCTCTGTGAATTTAAGGCCAGCCTGGTCTGTGCAATAAGTTCTCATGGAAAACCATTAAAAAATAAGTAATTTTTTTGTGACACACCTTAGGCTACTTTCCAGAACACATACTAGACTGTAAAAGCCACAAGACCATTTTCTGTATTTAAATTATTAAGGTAACTTTTTATCCACGTTTTTGTTAGGTTTTTCCTTAATTTAAATAGAAATTTTGAATGTTTACATACGAGTACCTACCTAGTTTGGGGATCTTAGACCCTTTTAAAAATTCAGAATATAAAAAAATCAAAATATAACAAAAGCACTTACTTTTGAAACATTAAAATATACTATATAGAAATAAACTAAGCAGCCAGGGAAACAAGGAATGCTAGCCCATCTCCTGGTCCTGGTTGTCTAGAAAACTTATACCCTTATCAGTTGACCTCTCCACAGAACCCCAATAGTCTCCAGCCCTTGTCTCATATCCCTCTCATAAAAATGGAATATATTACACACTATTTCCTTTCCTTATCCACTGTACTTTGCTCTCAACACTCTTGCTTCCCTGCTCTAACTAGACATTAAAGTCCTTAGAAGGCAGGGCCCATTTCCCAAGTCTGTATCTATCCTTTTGTTTTCCATGGACAACACACAAACGGAGTTTACCAGTTCCAGGCATCTGACAAGCAAATGGATGTTCACATCACACGAAGGAAACATCCATACTGTTATCAGGAATCTGCGTGCACACTCAGACTGTACTTATCCCAATATTCCATTCCAGAATCAGGGCAGCAGTGTAGGCTGCCCAGAGCCTGAACCTAGCTAGTATATATGCTCCAGATTTCATGCATCTACTTTCACTTGGAAAATTAGAAAGTCCCTGTCAAAAGGAAATGTAGCTCACCTGTGTGTCGGTCTTTGAGGGCGGTTTTACACATTTCGATTCTTGCTGAGTGAAATGGCACATAACGGTCTTGGGGAGAAGCAACCAGAACAACGTTTTTAAAATACTGCAGCCCTGGAACAAGAAGGCAGGTGAATGTTTTCTGTCTAGGTCCTTTATACTGACACCCCTCTGGGTTGTACATATTTAGAAGTCTCCCCCAGAGAGTGGCAGTGAGGAGACACCAGACACTGTGCTGTACATTTGCCCAGGACTAATGCTCCAAGTGTCAATACAAATGGCTCGGGAAGAGACCTAGCAGGCACTTGTGAGAAGCTGAGAAAGGAACTCCGTATGTTAGGGCTTTTGTGTTTTGGATGTAAGAATAAGTCCTTGACCTCAAGAGTTTAAAAGCCAAGGAGTTTCACTGTGAGCACTGAGAAAAATGCAGAAAAGGTACCTTGCAATGAGAACAAAACCTGTCTCTGCAAGCTAGGAAATTATGGAGCCTACAGGAAAGACAGTTTTCTCTTTCTCCTTCTTCCTGGCTCAAAATTCTGGCCTCTCCTCTCCTATTATCTGCAGTAGGAAAGCCTTCCTTTGCCTCCTCCAACTTTCCCTCCTCCAAGCTTGCCTTCTCCAGCCTCATTCCACTCCAGCATTGCCCTCCTTCTTTGTTTCCCACAGGGAGAAAAGACAATTTTGCAACCCAAAGTCAGCACACCAAAATGATGCAGCCCTCAGTACTCATCATGGACATCTGGGAACAGTGCACAGAACACTGCATTTAGCCCCCACCTGAAGATGGAGTGCTTCTTATCCGACCTACAGTTGAACAAGACACTGGCTGACTGTTCTTGCTGACCCTCTCGATAGGGTCTCACATCCATATCCAAGGTCACAGCTGAGCATCACACACTGGGGCAGAATCCAGGGCAATGGCTGGCTGATATGGACCCAGAAAGGACAAAAGTAACCCCGAGATCTACTTCAGTACAGAACTGGAACAGCACTCCAGCTCTTGAGTGCTCCGTGACGGAAACAAGCTGAGACTTCTATGTTGAACCCATTGCAATTCAGCATCTTTGTATGCCCAATCCTACCTCTTTTTTCCTACAGCAGCTAACTGAATAATCCTCTTGGAACAGGGAAACACAAGTACAAAAGGAATAGCTTGAGCTTGAATATCACTTTGATACACGGGTATCAAGAGCTGTCCTTCTGGACATAGACTACTGGTCCATTATTGATGCTTCCCTCTGTCATGGACTCTATGATCTAGGCTGGGTTTTCACACTACTCTACATCCATCAACACGGGGGGAGGAAAAATAGAAAAGGAAGCTCTTGTGGTAATCCAGACAATGCTCTACCCACTCTTTTTGAGGATGGATCTACACAGGGTGAAGATGGATCCATACATACAAGGTGAGGGTGTACCACAGTCCTGGCATGCCAATAGAATACACTACATGACTGGCAGGGAATAGAAGTCACAGCTTCTGTATACTGCATTGGCCCTACAATGTCTTGGTTCCTGTGCTATACAGGAGGCAGGTAGAGACAGGCTGACATGTTGGGTAGCTTCTAGCCAGCCTCTCAGCAGGTTGAAGAGATACTGCTGGACAGTGTCAACATACCTCACAGGAGCAAATGAACACAGTATCAAAGCGAATCTATCTTAAGGTCTCATCCCCAGGGGCCTAGTAAGCCACACACCTGTTTTTTGGCTAAGTTGGTAAAGGAAACATTTGCGCAAATCAGCATTATCCCTGAAGGTCAGCTGCAAAAGGGAGCCAGATTTCTTCAGTTTTTGCATGAGCCACAAGCCTAGGAAGAGAAATGGAAAATGAAGATGAAAAAAGTAACTCGAAACAAAGTCAAAGAAGATATTTTCAGTTAGCTTAAAATGAGCAATGGGGCTTTTATCAAATAACTGTCCTGTCAAATTACACAGCAACAGCTTCTCCATCCATGAAACCAAGCAAACTCTGATAATCATTTGGTCTCCTTCAGTAAAGGTAGCCAAAGAAAGAACACTCAAAGGTCCACAGACTGGAAAACTAGAACATATATTGTTTACAAATCTCATGAAGTGCTTATGCAGATGATTACAAGAGTATATTAAATGTCAACAATAAATGAATGAATGCCATAAAACATTAAAACAATATATATATATATATATATATATCCATATATACATATATTTGTAGAGAGAGAACCATATATGATAGTGGTTGGTATAAATGTCAACATGTGTAGAAAATATAATAAGAACTACAGTGAATGAATTCCTTTATGTATTCTAGGTTGAATAAACTGGGTATTATATCTTTTTAAAACTTTTTAAATATTATTTCAAGTTCATAAATATTTGGAGGAAGTAGCTAAATTAATTTATTTTTGTCCAAAGATAGCTTTGGGTTTATGCTGAAGAAAAGACATTTCTTACGTATAAAAGTAGAAAATAAGCCATGAGCACAGGGATCATCCTTAAGATACTGGAGAGAATAATCATGAAACCAAGTCATACCTTGAAGAAAGTTGCAGAGTGATTGGAAAATATGGGGAGGAATGGAGGAATGGCAGGGAGAGAGAACTCATTAGAGGTGACCTCAATACCACATGAAGGATCTAGCCAATCATGACATATGCAGTCCTGTTTCACCTTTTAAGAACTCTTTGTTCAGTCTGAAAGCTGTTTTGCTTTTAAATTGGGTTGTATAGCTAAGAAATATTTGTTTTTCACTCTAGGATGTGAGTGGATGGATCTTGAATATGATCAAAATACATTGTATGCATGTATGGAATTCTCATATAATTAATAAAAAATTACATTAAGGGATGTGATTTAACTAACATCATTACTATATAAATATTTTGTGGGTGTTTCTGAATGTGAAACCATTTGCTAAAACCCATTAACACTGTCTCTGTGGTCTGCATGTATGTCTAGCATCTTGCTGAATCATGCAGGGCCCTTCATCATCTGGCTGTGGTCAGGCATGGCAACCATCTTGCCTGTGAAGTGCTGTGGTTCTATCCCTGAGACTTTGTTTCAGTTTGCTGATTAGATGAGCCTTCCAGGTCATTACATACACAAGAAAAGCTTCCTATAATCTGCCACCCATGTTACATCAAGCCTTTCTCCTCCTCCTCCCCGTTCCTGCCCCTTCCTCCACTTCCCCCTTTCCTCCCTCCTCCTCCTCCTCCTCCTCCTCCTCCTCCTCCTCCTCTTCCTTCTGTTTCCTTGATTTACTCCCTCATCATTTTTTTTTTGTAGTACTGGGGATCAAACTCAGGGCCTTTGGAATACTAGCCAAGCATTGTAACATAAGATACATCCCCAACCAGGAAATGATGGCACACTGGCACACACCTTTAATCCCAGCACTCGGGAGGAGAGGCAGGCAGATCTCTGTGAGTTCAAGGCCAGCCTGTTCTATAAGAACTAGTTCCAGGTCAGCGAGGACTGTTACACAGAGAAATCCTGTCTCAAAAAAAAAAAATACACCCCCAGCCGAGCCTTGCTTCTTCTCCCTCTATATCCCAGAGTCTCTCATAACATAGTTGAAGTTGTGAGGGCCTTGGAACAGAGGGCCAGGAAACAATATAGAATTCAGTTACTTATGACCTAGAATAGATGATAGAAAGTCTGCTTCTTAATTTTCCTTTTGAATCCTGAATGTACATTCACCCACTTACACAACCATGAATGCATGTATGCATGTGAATACCTACACAAGTCAGATCTCAGTGCACTTGAGTTTCACACCTGCAAAGTCAACACACCAAAGGTTAAAAGTATTTTTCCAATAGTTGTGTCTCCTGGATAATTTCCTGGACGTTATTCACACACAACACTGTATATTAATTTCTTATATAGCATTTGCATTTCATTAGGTGGTAAAACCCAATCTGGAGATAATATAAAACATGAAGAAGGATTCTCTAGTTTACATGTAAACACTATTTTTTTACATGAGTTTACATGAGAGACTTAGAAATTCTCAGCTTTTTGAATCTGTGAGGGTTCCAGAAGCAATAGATAATGAAATATAAATATAAACACACACCTGTGTTCCATGAATATTTAAACACGCACACATAACATATGTGATGCGATTAAATACATACATGTAATATATGTACTATAATATATACATATATACTGTAATGCAAATACAAATATGCAAGCATGCATTAGGCACATGCAGTTTCCATTTCACAATAAGTAAATGAATGTTATAGAGTGAGAGACCTTAGTTACATTGAATAATTAGAAGACAGACTCCGCATGTGAGAGCAAACACAGTATTTGTCTGGATATCAGCTTAATATGATATTTTTCAGTTCTACCTATTTATTGCTGAAATTTTCATAATTTAATTTTCTTTTTCAGTTGACAACACTGCCATACCAAATCTCCATCCACCATCCCACATTGGGGAGAGCCATAAGATTCCATCAACCACTTCCGTCTTCACTTCCAAGTTCCTGATGCCTCTGATTAAGTCTGAAAGATAATGGGGGTGACAAAGCCTTACCTGTACTGACCAGGGTGCTGTTGTTGTACAGAGTCCCCAAGTGAGGCCCAGACAGTGACAGGAAGGTGTGGAGTTTGTTGAGGTAATACCGGAACCGGGGCCTTGTGAGGACGGATCTGATGATAATGTTACCAAGAGAATGACCGATGAAGCTGTTTAGAGGCAGGAAGGATATATGTGAGTGCCAGCAGGGAATCACTGCCCAGGGATGGGCTAGAGTGATAAGCACCCAGGTCTTAGCATCTTCCCCCAGCTACAGAGGACCTGACATAAAAAATGGCCACTACAGACTATCACCCAGTGCTGGTGCTTGTGAACAGACGCTCTAGGCAAATATAGTGAGGTACAGGAGAACTGTGATGTTTACCTCATAAGTCCATTATAAGAGCAGAGTCTCTGATGTCTGGTCCCCAGACCTCCTCTCAGCCCATTTGGGGACAGCATGGAGTCCTTTCTGAAATCCATCCATCTAAGCACTGTGCTCTCCTGGCCATTTTCAAGCTGAAACCCCCATCTCTTATACTTTCCCAAAGGGTTAGTCAACATCTCAGCTCTGACTACTGCTCTGACTCCACTCAGCCCCTCATGTCTCTGCACATGTATTGAGCTGTCTGCTCCCGATTATACTGATTGGCCATTCTCCTACATGCTCTGTTCCAACTTCCCGCTCCCTCCAGACCCATAAATTCAATATGCCACTCTGATTTCAATGAGTCATTTCTCAAAACTCTATAATATATGACAGGTGTGTCATCTTACCTCTTCTCGCAATATACATAAAACCAGCAAAATAAAGACTCAGATGTTAGCCTATACAATTGGATCACCTGAACTGTGTGATGCCATTACCACCAAACCACTCCTGACCTTAGAATCTTTATTTGTGAAATAAATACATGATCTCATAGCCCTGGAGACTAAAAACAACAACTGACACCATGAATTTAGTCCTATGCCGATGTATCTACATGCTAAAACAGTATAAGCCAGACTGAGCTATCTAAATTTTTTAGAGCAAATTTTTATGCTATTTTGAGGCTACAACTGGCACTGGCTGAAACCTTCTCATTGGACGGGAGAGTCCTGCAGGGTTCTAGCACATTCATTTCCTGATAGTCCAATTAAGACATAACAAAGGGGAGGCTCAAGGATCTGAAAAGTGTGCAAAAAGTTGCACACTCAGTACATGACAGATCCTAAACTTGTGAGAATTCAAACATGAATTCAAACCTAGAGACAGCTGTGCTAACTTTAAGATTCTTAATGCTACACAGCAAAATATTAATTCTTATCATTCATATTTTGAGAGATATTCAGGTGAGAAACCAACTTGCTGCTCCATTCACTCCTAAAAGTAATCAGATTCATTAAGAGCCCAAAATTCAATTATCATAGTGCCTTATAGAAGTATCTAAACATGACTATATGGCAAACACTCAAAAACATGTCACCCATCTTCCCTCAGCATTAGCTACCTGTGGTTTCCTTTTACCTAATTCGGGATATGGAGAGGTTGTACAACTGGATGTGTTGAATGATTTCATCCAACAATCGATCTGTCATGGTATCAAAATCTGCAAATGTGTCCATCTGGAAGAAGAGAAAAGGAGAAGATGTTAGAAGAAGTTATGACCTCTGTTGGAAGAGGGCCATTAGTAAGTTCCCAGCCGCCCAGCAAGCTTAGACCCAAAATAATCACACAGAAACTGTACTAATTAAATCACTGTTTGGCCCATTGGCTCTAGTGTCTTACTGGCTACCCTTACATATGAATTTAACCCATTTCTATTAATCTGTGTATCACCACGTGGCTGTGGCTTACCAGGTAAAGTTTCAGCACATTTTACTCTGGTGGCGGCTCCGTGGCATCTCCCTGACTCTGCCCTTCTTTCTCCCAGCATACAGCCTAGATTTTCTCACCTAGTTCTTTTCTGCCCTTGCCATAGGCCTAAAGCAGTTCTTTATTCATTAACCAATAAAAGCAACACATAGACAGAAAGATCTCCCACACCATGGCCTCTAAGTAAGAAATCCTCTTTCATTAAACAGCATGACATTTTTTTAAAGTATATAAGCATCTGTTAGGGGTTACATTTTGAGATATAACTTCAAGATAAAGGTCCACTGGGTCACTAATGAAGAACCTGGGCATCTGCTAAAGAACCTTCAGTTAGGGGGATAAGGTGAAAAATGGGAGAATATGTTCTTAGAATGTGGTACCTGCTGCATCAAGATGAGCTCACTGTGTCTGCTGAAGAAAACAGATCCTGTGAAAGGAGACCACTTGCTCACTTTGTGTGAGCCAGATTCACACCAAGACATGCTGGAGTCTTATGCTGGTTGGTATTTGTCATCTTGACACAAGATAGAAAGATATGGGAAGAGTGAATCTCATTGAGAAAATGCTTCAATCATACTGGCCCATTGGGAAGCCTATAGTGCATTTTTTTAACTGATAATTGACGTGAGAGGGTCTAGCTAACTGTGGCCTGTGCTATCATGGAGAAAGTGCTTCTGGATGCAATAAGAAAGCAGGCTAGGCAACCTATGTCGAGCAAACCAGTAAGCAGTGTTCTTCCAAGGCTCCTGTTTCTGCTTTGAGTTCTTAGCCTTACTACACTTAAGGATGAACTATGATGCACAATTGAAAATGAGATAAGCCCTTTCTTCACCAGAAAGATGGCCAAATAATAAAAAAAAAGTACAAAAAGGTTGTGAAATTCCATGCACATCTATGTTGTGAGGCTGTTTATTTGTTCCTGGCTGCCCAGAACTGAAATAATCACACAGAAGCTATATTAATTACAACATTGCTTGGCCTATTAGCTTATGCATCTTTTTAGCTCACTCTTATCTCTTAAATTAACCCATTTCTATTACTTTATATTTTATCACAAGGCTTGTGGCCAACCGGCAAGGTTCCAACTGCTGGCTTGTGTCTTTACATCTAGGTACTTGAAGACATAAGAGATTGGTCTATATAACTAAATTTTAGGAATATTATTGGGAGTGACACACACATGTATTTAGGGTCATATCTACAAGCAAAAATATTCTTAATAAACAGCATCTTGGGATGTCTGAGATTCTGGCCAAAAGCTCTAACAAATATTCATGATGGTGGTGAAGCAGCAAGCACATCTAAGGAAGGAGCAGCAAAGAAATGAGTGACATTATGTAGATGGTCACCCATCTCTCTATGAAGCCTGCAGCATGAAAGAGACAAAACACAGTGATGCTCTTGCTATGCGTCATGAAACACATGTAGCCCTAATTTCCCAGAGGTTGTATCAAGGTTCTGTGGCTTCTATAGCCTGAATCTGCATCTTCTTGCCTTTAAAAATGGAGAATGCAATATATTCCTCCTCATATCTTAAAGACTCTTGAAATGACTATCAACATCCCTAAGACTGGTGGTGCTATTATCATGACCTTCTAGTCTCTGAGAGCCTCTTTGCTCCTTTTCAAATTAGTGGTTTGCAGATTCATTATTTTACAATTGTGATAATGAAGACTGTACTTAGTATGATGAAAAATGCTCTGAAAAACCACAGTAAGGACAGAAACAATAATGGGACCTCCACAGCCAGGATGCTTTGAAAGAATCATTGCATTCTGAGCCCTTTATAAGACTTATAATATTTAAGCAGTGAAATAGCACGGTAGGACTTGATCAGTATTGAAACAAATCCCTCTAGTTAATGACTTGCAGAATCCTGGCTCAAACAAGCTTGTGGAAACCATGTAAAATCCAGATGTCCTGTAATGTATTATATGGAGGGACACACAATGAAGGCTGCATTCCTGGCCCAAACTCTGCTATTAACTACATCCATCATTCCTGAAGAGAAAACTTCACCAGGGTAAAGTCAACACAAGATCATGGAACACTGATCAGCCATTATTCTACCTCCCTCTCTGAATGTCCTGGGCTATCTCCCTCAGGACATGGCCACATATGAAACATGTCTCTTAGGACATAAATGTCCTGGAATTTTGTATGGCAGTTATTTGGGTTAGGGGGAGGATTCTCTGCAGAAGCCCTAGAATTCGTGCCCTGTGCTGTAAAGAGCTGGTGCTGTGGGTAAGCAACAGAGTTTGTTTGAAGATGGAATAAGGAACAATTAACTGGGTCAGTTATACTGAAAATAGTGTGCCCTTGGTTGATGGTTCTCTGAACTCCTCCTTCCTCACATAGTACCTTATACTACCTGCCATGTGACCTTGGACATAGAATATCAAAAAACAGGCAAAGAAATTAAGCACAATCAATTAAGGGATAAGCTGGGTGTTTTGGGCTTTTGAACATTTATTAATTTGTGTGTGTGTGTGTGTGTGTGTGTGTGTGTGTGTAGGTCAAAGGACACCTTGAGAGAGTTAGTTCTTACTTTCTAGTACGTAGGACTCAGGGATTGAACTCGGGCTATTTAGCTCGGCAGTGAATGCCTTCACTCTGTGTCATCTCTCTAGCTTCTCAACTTTGATGTCTGATGACTCTCTGCATCACTATCACTTTCATGAGGCCTCTTGCTTGTTAACAGCTCTACTCCTCAAGTATCCTCCATAAGGATGCTTATGACTCATTTACCCCACTCTCTGGTCATCCCTAGCTCTTGCTCATTGATTTGCTAGTGCCTTTTTGAGTCTTAGCACTTTTCACAGTTACAGCCTCGATCTACCATATCTGATTAAAAAGCAATCACAACCTGGCTCCTTACTTTGCATAGTTGCAGGTGACAATGCTCTGTCCCCACTGTGACTACATGGATGACCACATAGTAGGCCACATTCCCAGTGCCCAATTAAGCCAAAAGGCTCCAGTCAGCTAAAACATACTAGCTCTTATCATTAATTTATGTTTTTCCTTAGACTCCCAAAACAATACAGTAAGGGTTTTTTTTTTCTCTAAATCACCCAAGAATTTTGTTATTATCCTTGAAGATTCCCCATTCACTTCATGTGTCCACATATCATCATGGTGCCTTTAGGAGACTCTTTTAAACCCAATGTTCTCTCAACCCAACGTTTCTGCCATCCTACCTGATTTTTTTCAGACATTAGGAAGTCCAATTTTCCCCCAGGGAGTCCCAGTTCTATGAAAGTCTTCACCAGCCGTAGGTCTGCACTGTTCCCTGAAAATGACAGATGATCCCAGTCCTATAAGTAATCATAAGCCACCAAGGATTTCTTTCTCACCATTTCTCACAATATAATTAGATTTGTTCTTCATTTTTGAGAAGATAACAGAAATAGCTGAAGTAACTCCCTATCCTCCCCTCTTGCTACCCTAGCCCATGCACACACAAAGAGGTGGGCTCTTTTAAATGGCCCTGCTTCAATGGGATTATTCCTAGACCTGCCACATCAGTTTTCTTTCTTTCCCAGAACACAACTCTCTTAAACAGGTTTTTGGAAGGAGCTGCCTGGTGGCCGAGCAGGCACAATGTGGCAGTCCCCTCTTAATTACTTGACTATCATTTATAGATATCAGGAAGAGATGAATAATTGACTCTAGTTCAGTTGTATAAATAGAAGAATTACTCCTAAGACAAGGAATAATGGATTAGTAAGCTTGCAAATGTCCAAGAGTATCATCAAGGGTCGAGGAATAAAAAGTTGCTAATTCCAGGAAGCTGCTAGTATGATAGGCACAAACAGTAAATAGAATATTTTGTTGGCATAAAATGTTACATGGAAAGTGGATTTGTTATAACAGAATAAATTAGGCATACATTTCATTCTGCCCATGGGCATTCTAGTGTATCTACATTAACGTGCGGCATGTTCTCTCCTGGGTCCCTGTAGAGTTGAAAAGGAGTTACAAACTATTTAGATAATTTGGTAGCATGCTTTGTCATGTAAATCAACCCCACAGGTCATGGTATCAGAGAACGTCTACACTGTAAATCAAATAACAACTAATTTTATATCATTCTTTATGAATTCTCCCAATGATGCAAAGGTGTATTAACAAAAACACATGATACTTGGAAGAATTCAAGATTAGAGACAAACCTCAATGTGAATATTCTTAGATGCTAATTATCCAGTAACCTATTAAAGCATTTTCTCAAACTTGAAGGCCTCAAGGTCATTGGAAGGTCATGTTCTTTTAGGAGAATACATATTTTCTCTTAGAAAGTTAAATTTCATAACTCTGTTTATGCCAGCAGCTAAATAACATTCAGATTCACTCATGTTATTGCCTAAATCCCCCTAATGACATTTTAGGAGTGGGTTTTTAAAAAAGTTGATACTATTTATCTTTAACATGAAGAATTTGAGAATAAAATATCCTTCTCTACTAAAGATACTAAGAGTAAAAAGTTCTTGGAACCTAAAGCTTTCTAAAACAGTTTTATTTAATAATGTGTTAGACTGAGAACATTTATAACAAGATATGCTTTGAGCTTTTTGGCATGACAGAGAGCCTGTGTAAATATTCATAACTTGTCTTAATGTACTCAGTTCTTAATATAAACATATTAGACAGATTTGAATAAACTGGTTCTATAAAATTCTGAAGCAGTTACAGACATGCACCTTGAACTACAGAAGTAATACTCTGAAAGCCGTCTTTGTGATCACTTGTTTTTCTTTTTATCTGTGACCCAGGGGATGCAATCATGGGCAGCTCATCTCTCTGAATCTGTACAATACTGGCAAATCACCTCTACCTTTGTTACACAACTCTTTCTCAATTTGCATGAGGTAACATAAAAACTCTATGGTCTGACCAGAGTTCTTACTTTCAAGATTTTTTATTTATGTGTATATCTAGGTGTGTGAATGCCACAGGTAGCCAGGGAGCCTCAGAGAACAGAGAAAGACATTGGACACCTTGGTTATAGAGTTTGTGAGCCATTCATCATAGGTGCTGCGAACCAAACTCAGGTCTGCTGGAAGAGCAGCAAGTGCTCTTAACCATTGAGTCAGTTTTTGAACCCCCAGGTTTCTCACATTGCCAAGAATTTTAGAATTTTCAAAATCAGATGTAGGAATGGCTATTAGTAACATTGAGCAAATGAATGTCATGGTCACTCTCATCTCTATTAATCCTAGAACATGGCAGTGTCTAATACACAAAAGGTTCTGCATAAGTGAGAGATGAACAAAATAAACAACAAAATAGTTGCAATCACCAATCCAAGCTCCTAAAAGTGCATCCTTTATGCCTTTCCCTCCATATCTTCTTCTAGGACTATTCTATTGACTCATAACTTCCATCAACTCCAGCATTTCACTCAGGTATTCATTCTAGCAATATGCCCCCTTTTTCAACCATTTACTCCAGTCTTTCTTTTATTCAGAATACTAATTTCATTGGTTATACAATTACTTATACTATTGACTGGTAAAATTCACATCACTGAATTAATTAATTAATGATATGTGTGTATGCACGTATGTAACCTTTGCCATGCCATTTTCCTTGATAGCAATGTTTTCATGGTTGTTGTTTGGTTAGTTTTAGAGACATAAACTGAATGTTGTAGAGTAATTTGAGAAAGAAACTTCTTTAGAACTTACCATCCAGGCCATGGACACAGACCACCAGGTGAATCCCATCTTCCAAGTTTTCCTCCTCTTCCTCTGGTGGGAAATATGGTATATCAGAAGCTAGTACAGATAAGTCACTGTACAGAAATCCTTCAATCTTCAGTTCTTTTTTAAACTTTTCTTTGGCCTGATAAAAACTGGAGAATATACCAATTAATCACAAGCCATGCTGTGTGTTCCATGTTGAGCAGGGAATGAGTGGGGCTGGTATGCAGGAGTGACTTTTAATCACAAACAAATTGTCTTCTGAGCATCAAATGTTAAATGAAACCTTAAGGGAAATGCTGGTGAGCAAAGCTTCATTCTTAATGAGAGAGAGCAAGAAAATACCCCCGACTGAACCACAGGAAGAGTTTTATTCTGCAAATTTCTATTTTAATCTTGCATTTAACAGGAGACTGGGTAGAAATTTTAAGACGCTGTGCAGCTATAGGACATGAACTTCTTTAAATTTATCTCCTGAGATGGTAAGTTTCTTTCCTATCATACAAGCCCACCATGGTTTGGCTTCCATCTTCTTTTCAAGTACGATTTCCCCCCATTCCCAGCAGCAATGCAGGTTTTGTGTTTCTTTGTTTTATTTTGGCTTTGTTTGCTTGTTTTCTGGTTATTACCATAAACTACTTAGCTTGGATTGGCTTGACTTGGCTTGGCTTGGTTTCTTTAGGCTTTGGTGTATTCTAGATTCCAGAAATGACTTTTATACCCTGCTAAGATGTGTTTGTGTGGTCACTTATCAAGATGGTGGTTAACAACACTGGTTCACAGATAAGATTATGAAGATTAGAATCTTGGTTTTTATCACTTCCGATGATTATTGGTTATCTGAAATGCTTGAGACTAGAAGAGTTTCAGTTGTCAGTTGGGGTTGTTGTTGCTGCTTTTAAGATTTAGGTATATATACATAAACATCCTGAGATAACCTGAGGATGGGACCATATCTATACATAGAACTAAGTTTTGTTTTCTATGTGGTCTAAGCACATTACCTGAGGTAAGGTATTTTTATAAAATAGTTTTATTATGTTGAACATAAAATAATTTCATGGTACAAAATTCCTTATATGTATTATCCCACCAGCCATTAAGATATTTTAGATTTCAATAGCATGAAAATATAATTTAAATTTATATGTATTGTCTAAAAAAAGCAAGATCCTAGTTTTTCTTTAGAACAGTACAAAACAAAATAAAAACTTTTGGATCTTGGATAATGTACACTTATAGATTTTCAAGTCAGTGATGTTCTAGCATTAGCATCAGCATCCTCATCTATGTCCCATCGGTGAAGACATTCTGTCCTCTAAAGTGTTTCTTCTGCCTGCTTTCTCTATATGTACAGGTACTGCTGCTGGATATGCAGGAATAATCACATTTGCCCAACACTATAGCCTTGCTTGCTATTCTTATCTGCCTGGTTTTTCCTGCAGTTAACGCAGGGATGACTCTGATCCAGCTTTTTGACAGTGTCTAACTGGACTTCTTGAATTGGTGACCAATGTCATAGAACTGTCACAGGTATTTGATGCTATTTATTAACAATATATCCAATGCTTACCTGCCTGGGCTTTTTTCTTTATGTAAAAATCAGTAATTATTAGCAGTTGGCAAGAGAAGAAAGAGTATGAGGTACTCTGACAAAATTTTTCTATTACGTACCTAATAAAATCTATAGCTGACAATTGAGGGCAAAAAAATGAATACAGTGCAAGCCAATGACCAAGTTATATGTGCTGCTACTGAAAAAATGGTGGCTTTGAGAAGTCCATAATCTTAAAGGGAAACTGGGAGGCAAATCTATTCCCTCAAAGGTCCTAAAATCTCGTTTTTCAAAATATGAAAAGGTAAAGTCACAGTAGTGTTGTAAGACAGTTGTATATCAAAATAAAAATATAAAAAAATTCCCATTAAGAATTTGGTTAATAAGCTATGGTACATCCATACAATGAATTACTATGGAGACATTACATTAAGATACTGAATGAAAATTAACTTATAGAGAAAGATGTTTCAAATATTTTAAGCAGGAAAAATAATTAAGAAGTGTCACAATAATCCTATTATTATTAAAAATGAATATATTTAAGGGACAAATATCTTTATATAAAATTTCTTTATAAAATTAAGTCATATTATATTGGGCTTATTTGTAATTATTATTTTAATTACCTAGACATTCTGAATTACATGATATGTACATTATTTCTCTATTAAGTAATCAAAAATAACAAACACCTCCATGTTTACATAGTATGCATGAAACTGAGAAAATCGGGGGAAAACCTCAACGACCTGTGAGCTCTCCACAAGCTTACCTGAACATCCTTTCACTGACTTCTTCTTCCATCTTGCTGGAATGGGTAGAAACAACTCCAAAAGAACCCAAAGGTTGATGAGTGATGGGGGCTAGGTTTTGTTTAGAAGAGAGTCCGGCCCTAGCAGGGGTCTCCTTGGGTACAGATGAGAAAGGGAGACAGGTGGCAGTGCAAGACACAGACAAGTTCACGACCTCCACTGCCTTTAGGCTGTCCAGAGTAAAGGCCTCTGAGGAGTTCAAGTGGGACCCAGAGATGGAAGTTCCTGTCTTCAGCTCTTGGTTTCGTGACACTTGGGAGGCAATAGCGTGAGTCACAGTGGGGCACACAGTGCCTGCTTCATGTTTGACCTCCAGAGAGGCATTATGTCTTCTATTCAACGGCATGGTATCGTTGACACTTGATGGACCAGTTTGTAGACCTGTAGAGTTCAAGTTGACAGCTTCAAGAGCAGCTGCACTCCTGATTTCAGGCACCCTGTTGTGAGACACAGCCCTGGCTTCTAAGTTGCTGTGGTTGGGGAGTATGTGTTTATCCTCACTTGATTCTTTAGGTTTGCCTTTTGTGGTCTCCACTACTGTTCTTTGAAAAGATCTGGTCCTAGAATTTTCAAGCACTATAGAATATGGTATTTTTAAGTTAAGACCTTTGGTTTCAACACTTGGCATGTTCCCAGCTGTGCCAGACAGACAGCAGGGTCCTTGAGGATCGGACTGGTTCTCTTCACCTTTAGGAATATCTATGTACCCAGGACCCTGGGCTCTGTCAGATTCTAAAGTTATATCTGCAAGAGAGTGTCCTGCCCTGACATCCTGGGCTCTGGAGTCACCAGAAGGAGAACTGTGTCCAGGTGAACTTTTGTCCTTGCTAGAACTGTCCAGGTCTTCAGAAAATCCTCCTGTGTGCTTCATAATGTCTGTACTTTCAGCAGTATCCTCAGGGCTGCTGATCTGGGGTGCAGAGACAGACTTGGTTAGCTTGGTAAGTGCCAACTCGCGCTCCTCATCTTCAAAAGGCAAAGAGCTGATAGAGGTAAGAGAAGCCTGGATGCCACTGGGCAGACTGGTGTTGCTTTCTGTATGGCCACCCTCTAAAGAGTTCCTGTGGTGAGCATGCCTTCGAACCGCCTGGTGTAAAACTTCACGATCACTGGGTAACTCCAACACCCTGCTTCGGGCCTCAGACCAGGCAACAGAACTTGGCTCGCTTTCAATGCCTGAGTCAGATATGATGGAGGCTGACCTTTTGATGATGCCAGAGAGCACTGACAGATCTTCCTGCTCGTCTGCATGGTCCTGCAGGGAAGACGTGGTGTCCGAAGGTTCCCTGTGCGTGGTGTTCAATGAGTCACAGGGCTCAGCAGGGGTGAGCTTCAGGCTCAGCAGTACAGGCTTTCCCTCCTGGTCTGCTCCCCTTCCTAGAGTCCTGAACTCAAGGGCAGCTGTTTCATTTAAAGAGACGGCATTATTCTGACTTATTCCCGCTACAGCTTTGCTTGGCAGAGTCTTAAGATCATAGCTGTCCTGAGAGCTCCTGTGCTCCTGCTGCACATTAAGGCCCAGCATAGGCTCAGCTCTTGGGTGGTTCTTATTGCTAGATTTTACGTCAATGTAGGTCAATGCAGGGGTCTTCCCATCTTCCGGACCTGGACTTTTCCTGTGGATGTCCACATCTGAATCTCGCACAGCGTCAGACCTTGGACCAGTCCAGCATTCACCTTCAGGCATGACAGCTTTGTTTTGGAATTCACCAATGGTCAAATACACCTGAGATTCTGAGCACACATCCACAGGATTCTGTGTGGAGACATTCTCTTCCATTTCTGGACACCTAATAACATCCTCATCAGAGCCCAACTGGGGTGCTTTTGTAGTAGATAATGGAAGGTCTTTCCTCAAAGATGACTTTTGATTTATAAGATTCTTTTCTTTCCCTTTTAGATTCATTATTGCAGGGCTTGTCACTGGGACATCAAAATTAGGATAAACACTCAAATTATGCCCTATAACAAAAGGAGAAAATTGTATTGTAGCTTAAAATAAATATTATAAATCATTCAAGTGCCTAATTGCATGAAAACAATTGAACAATCCCGTATTACTACTTTTTGAAGGGGATGACCTTCAGAGTGTTTAAAGCTCTCAAGTTATAGGAAAAACTTTCTTATTCAGAGGTATACAGATAGTTTAGGCTAGCCAAGTGACTCATGTTAAAATCCCGAAGAATTTATGTTGGTGAGATAATTGAGGATATGGACATGACAAAACATGTGATTAGTGGACGGGACAAGGGTAAAGAAATATCCATCAGACCTCTGTGAAAGGATTGCACCTATGTGAGGCCAGTGGCTCGCACAATCTTGTCCACATAAGAAAACATCAATGCACAGCTCAGATCTTATGACTCGGATGAGCTCCTCAGACTTATAGTTTGACAACAAAGATGGATTCTTCAGGAGAAGAAAAAGTCTTGAGAGCACCAAACCTTCTGACTAAGCTTCAACCTATAAATCCTCTCTCTCTCCCATCTCTCTTTCTGCCTCTCTGCCCTCAACCTTCCCTCCCCCACCTCCTGTTTTCATTTGGAGGATATAGTTGTCCTTTATTCATAACAATAAAACTTTAATCATGGGCATAGCTCCTTTCCAAGTTCTATGAGTCATCCCAGAATATCGTTAAACATGGGTGAATTAAATGAACCGAGAATTTGTAGCCAGTGACCTGAATTCATGTAGTGGCTGTAGCAGTTTATACTCCTAGCAACTGTGGAGACAAGCAAAGAGGAAAAGGGGATCTGCAGAGGAGCAATGGGGCAAATGAGGGCAGTGGAGGAAAAGAAAGTCAACCATGATCCCTCTAAGAACATTTGAACAACACAAATTGGACTTGATGAGTTGGGGGGGCGGTTCTTAACAGAAGAGAAAGTTGGGTGGGTAGGATAATAGGGAGGAGTTGGGGAGAGGGTAAATATGAAGAAAATATAGTATATGATATTTAAAAATTAAGAAAATGGGTATGAAATATAATAAAGAAATCCATTACTTCATATGTTAATTTAAAAATCAAAATATAAGATAAAGGCCTCATGTGGTTTTAATAGAAGCTAAATCAATACAACTTCTCTTAAATGCTATCATGAATTAAGTCATACATATACTAATTACAAACTACATGAGGTTTGATACATGATTCTCTAATAAAATTCAGTGCAATTTATAATTAGATTGAGGGAGGAATGAATTCTCCCTTTACCTGGGTGTAACCAATGATAATAGGAAGCATTTGCTTTCCTCTGAAGACCTTTCCTCAGCCTGCAGCAAGACCAGTATACTCCTTTGAAATTCCCCAATGTCCCTTCCACACATAGGGAGTGTTGTACATCCTACCACCATGTGATGATCTGTTTGTGAACTCTTGTCCCCATGAAAGTGACAGCTTGTGTTTATCCCTATAGCCTAAAGGCTGACACCCTGAGTGGTACATATTTAATTTGTGTTTCTGAAAGGGTCTAAGTCAAGAACAGGAATCTAGCATAGTAAAGATTGTTTGTATTGGCTTGAATATAATTACTACAATGATGTTTAGTTCCACCCAGGGCTATACTAGCATGACTAGGCATTGGGTTGGTAAGATGGCAAGTGGACATTTGCTATAAGGAGGCAGAGGTAGGCAGATCTCTGTGAGTTAGATGCCAGCCTGGCCTACAGAGCAAGTTCCAGGACAGGCTCCAAAGCTATACAGAGAAACCATGTCTCAAAAAAAAAATAACAAAACGAAACAAACAAACAACAAAGAGTAAATAAGCTTTTGCCTTGATGGGATTTTCAAAATATTGGGAAGCACTCAAAGGAACAGTTGTCTTGTTAAGAATAATGTGTGTATGGAAGAATCACATATTTAAAGGCTTAAATTTATGCTCACTGGAACATTTATCAATATCTGATATTAAAAAGACTGAGAAACAATCTGCACCCAATTCTGATGTGCAAATTGACCCCTATGATTGGTGCTTAGTTGCTTCAACTGTCGACTTTTTCTGGAAATTATATAAGAGGTATGCGTTAATGAAAACACAAGCATATAAACACACACAAATACGCACGCACACATATGCATACATGTGTACATATGTTAAAAACTTACCATTTGGGTTGGAGATTTAGTATTGTTCAGTACACATTTCACTTGTCATACATTTACTTGACACTAGATGTCAGAGTACAGCTAGAAACCAAATTCATGTTTGCAAACTTGCTGTGTTCCTACACATCCCCTAGATTCCACACTCGTAAGTCTGCAGATGCAAAAGTTCTGAAATGTAGCCATTTTGATCCACTGTATAAAATGACAAGCAAATTGGCCTGGCTTAAAGCACCTCAGGAAGCTAATAGAGCAGTCTGGACTCTGGAGTTAAGGAGTTGATTTTGGTTGTTTATTGATGCATAGTCTTTCCCACATACTTCTACTTATGTTTCAGTCTCCTTCTCTGAAGCTGTATACATTATTTAAAGGATTAAATAAATAAACCACTTGGTTAAACCAACAACACAGGACTTGACATATTCTGGTAATGGTGTTGGGTTTCTGTGGTCGAGTCACAGGGAGAACAGAAAGGGGACACTCATTTCGTCATGTCTGGTCATTCTGCAGTTGATCTCTGGGTTTACTGACAAACAATATAGCCATGCTGACCGCTGGTATACAAACAAGACGTACAACCTTGTTCCTTCTCTCCCTGAGATTTTTGTTCATGATGTCTCATAGTTTCACAGCCCAATTTTTCAAGTCCTTGACCTGCCTTGAGGCATTCATCAAACAGGTTCTTGAATTAGTGAATGGCCATCTAGAATGACCTAGAAAAATCCTTTCTCAAGAAACCGTTAACCAACCAACAAAACAACCTCAATCACCACCACCAACACAAAACAAGCACTATCACGGTGTCACTGAAGTTCAGTAAGAAATGAATATACTGCCAGGCAGTGGTGGCGCACACCTTTAATCCCAGCACTTGGGAGGCAGAGGCAGGTGGATCTCTGTGAGTTCGAGGCCAGCCTGGTCTACAAGAGCTAGTTCCAGTACAGGTTTCAAAGCTACAGAGAAACCCTGTCTCAAAAAAGAAAGAAAGAAGGAAAAAAAGAAAGAAAGAAAGAAAGAAAGGAAAGAGAGAAATGAAATTAATATAGTTAAAATTGTACTCTTTAGAAAACAAAAGATCTTCACCAGTCTTTAGGTTGTGTGTGTGTGTGTGTGTGTATGTATGTGTAGGTGTGTGTGTGTGTTTATGTATTTCTCATTATATAGGTAATTCAATAGGTGAAACCACAAGAGCCAAGGACATTTTGATCCAGAAGGGACCAGGGAGGCTAACTCTTCCTTCCCCTTTAAAGAGAAAATACTGCCTCGATTTGCTCATACTCTTGTGAACAGTGACCCTCCCCCCACCGCAGATCTCCAATGGCACTGTCTGTTAATGCACTAGTACTTACATGGAAAGCCTAATTCCTGAAGTCTTTTCAACAACAGAGAAAGACAAACCTGAGACAGGGCAGTCCACGTATCTGTCCTCAAAGATAACGGGCAGCGTGTTCCAGTCACCATCAATATCCAGGCACTCTGCGGGCAGTGGGGGCATGCTGGTGAGGTACTCTGAGTTCCGGATGTCCAGAGATAGCTGGCTGTGGGTCTGGATCCTGGGGGGTGCACAGAAGGTAATCAACCAAACAGGGTTGGAAGTTTTCAGTAGTCTTACATCCCACCCCCAAAAAAAGCATTAACAATGATGTTAGCAGATGCAGGTAATGACCATCTGCCTGTTCCATATAAGATGTCACTCAAAGTGACAGTCTGCTTTGCTGAGGCACTGCTCCAAGAACTAGGGTTGGTGCAGTGGACTGTAGTACTGAGCTACTCCTACTGGTTAGTGGAAAGTAATTAGCGTCATGCTACTAAAAGGCTAGTTAAGAAAAGGCTAGAGCGTAGTACACCCACACTGGAGCACTGGACTGAGCTCCCAAGGTCCCAATGAGGAGCAGAAGGAGGGAGAACATGAGCAAAGAAGTCGGGACCACGAGGGATGCACCCACCCACTGAGACAGTGGAGCTGATCTATTGAGAGCTCACCAAGACCAGCTGGACTGTGACTGAAAAAGCATGGGATAAAACTGGACTCTCTGAACATGGCGAACAATGAGGGCTAATGAGACGCAAAGGACAATGGCACGGGGGATTGATCCTACGTAATGTGATGGCTTTGTGGGAGCCTAGCCAGTTTGGATGTTCACCTTCCTAGATATGGACAGAGGTGGGAGGTCCTAGGTCTTACCACAGGGCAGAAAACCCTGACTGCTCTTTGGACTGGAGAGGGAGGGGGAAAGGAGTGGGGGGAGGGGGAGAAGGGTGGGAGGAGGGGGCGTAGGGTGGGAGGAGGGGGCGTAGGGTGGGAGGAGGGGGAGGGAAATGGGAGGCTGGGAGGAGGTGGAAACTTGTTTTTTGTTTATGTTTTTTTTTCTTTTTTCTTCTTTTCTCAATAAAAAAAAAGAAAGAAAGAGAAAAAAAAAGAAAAGGCTACAGATCTAAAATGTGTGCTTTGGAAGAGAAGGTTAAATTTACTCATATATAACTCCAGCATCTTAAACTTTTTAAACTACTTAGAGTCTGATTTTATTTTGGTGCAGCTGAATGAAGAGCCACCTGAAGTACTTCTGGTACTATGTAGATACTGACAGTGTTTATTGGCGTGTAAGCTAATAAATTCAGGCATCATATGTTTTGTTTCTCTATAAAGGAACGGTAAAAACTTGTATTTATTCTTCCAGACCTAAACATCCTTCAACCAATAAATAATAATTTGATTTCAGAATCTGAAGCTATTACTACTTAATAATTTAAAAGTTTGGAGGGACATGTGACTTTACCTCCTCAGAATAGAGCAAATTCATGTTATCTCATGAAAGAAAAGATAAATAATGTTTTTACAATTTTTGTGTATAAGAACTCAATCACTTTCCTCCAAGGAAGGAGAACTTAGGGATTGTAGGTTTAGGAAAAGACTGACCATATGTTTGCCTGGCTGGCTGGCTGCCTGCTGCCTGCCTGCATCTCTTTATGTAGCAGGCTGTGTTCTGGACACGCTCATCTCACTTCCCAGCCATGTGGACTATTTACCTCCATAAAATAAATGTGATGTGTAACTCTACACAGGTCCACAACAAATTCACTAAGCATCACATCATCATCAACAGAAGCACCATGAGTTCAACACAGACATGTGTAGGATTGATAGCATATATAGATTTCATATAAATATACATATAAAATGTTAATTAAGGCAATACATATAAATTTTATGGATTAAATGTTTATCGTATATTTTCTATTTTTCCCATTTTCTACACAAAAAAAAATGGGTTATTTTTTCTCTTATTCAAAGTTCTAGAGGTTGTTGTATTTTTATGCTTCTTTGAATATTCAATTATTTGGATATTTAAATATGATCTTGTGGTCTGCGAGCTGCCCAACCAGCATGGAGGCCTGATCTTTCGGCGCCAGGAGACCCAGCATTGGGGTGAGTTTCTGGCCCACGGCGCCAGCCTGGGACGGGGAGCTCGGGGGTTTCTTGGCCCCCTGTCCTGCTTGGGCTCTCTGCTGCCTCTTTCTTCCTGGCCCACCCAGCTTCCGTCCAGAGCCCTCCCCACTTCGCCCCCACTGCCCTCTTTTGGCGCGTGGCATCGCCCAGCGCAGCCTATCTGGGCGCTGGGTCCGAGTACCCGGGGCTCCCGGGCGGGCAGCAGTTCCTTTGTTTCTGTGGCCTGCCTGCACCAAGCGGGGTAGGCGCTTTGTCTGCGAGCTGCCCAACCAGCACGGAGGCCTGATCTTTCGGCGCCAGGAGACCCAGCATTGGGGTGAGTTTCTGGCCCACGGCGCCAGCCTGGGACGGGGAGCTTGGGGGTTTCTTGGCCCCCTGTCCTGCTTGGGCTCTCTGCAGGGCCTCTACTCCCCGGGTGCTGCCTCTTTCTTCCTGGCCCACCCAGCTTCCGTCCAGAGCCCTCCCCACTTCGCCCCCACTGCCCTCTTTTGGCGCTTGGCATCGCCCAGCCCAGCCTATCTGGGCGCTGAGTCCGAGTACCCGGGGCTCCCGGGGGGCAGCAGTTCCTTTGTTTCTGTGGCCTGCCTGCACCAAGCGGGGTAGGCACTTTGTCTGCTAGCTGCCCAACCAGCACGGAGGCCTGATCTTTCGGCGCCAGGAGACCCAGCATTGGGAGAGCCAACATTGGGGAGAGACAGCGTTTGGTAGGCAAGGAGACCTAATCCAGTAAAAGAAGATCCATAGGGAGCATTTGGAAGAAGAGATGGGCCGATGTCAAGGCAAGAATTCGCCCAACAAGCTGAAAAGCAACATGAAGCTACCAGAAACAAGCGACCTCACAACGGGAGGACAAGAACCCCTTAATCAAGAGGAAGGAGAAAAGATTGACTTCATGAAAGTGATTGACACCCTTAAACAGCATGTAAAAAACGCCCTTATAGAAATGGATGAGAAATATAACAGAAAGTTTGAAGAATTGAATAAATCAGTGAATGATACCCTAGAAAACCAAGGAAAAACAATCAAACAGATAATGGAAACAGTTCAAGACCTGAAAACTGAAATAGAGGCAAAGAAGAAAACACAAACAGAGGGCCGTCTGGACATGGAAAATCTAGGTAAACGAATAGAGACTACAGAAACAAGCATAACCAGCAGAATACAAGAGATAGAAGAAAGACTCTCTGATTCTGAAGATACCATAGAGAAAATAAACACACTGATCAAAGAAAACAGCAAGTCCAACAAACTCTCATCACAAAACATTCAGGAAATATGGGACACAATAAAAAGACCAAACCTAAGAATAATAGGAGTAGAAGAAGGAGAAGAAGGGCAGCTCAATGGTCCAGAAAATCTATTTAATAAAATTATAGAAGAAAACTTTCCCAACCTAAGGAAAGATTTTCCTATGAAGGTGCAAGAAGCATACAGAACACCGAATAGGCTGGATCAAAAAAAAACATCCCCTCGCCATATAATTATCAAAACACAAAGCATACAGAATAAGGAAAGAATATTAAGAGCTGCAAAGGAAAAAGGCCAAATTACTTATAAAGGTAAACCTATCAGACTTACACCTGACTTCTCCATGGAAACCATGAAAGCCAGAAGGTCCTGGATAGATGTACTGCAGAAACTGAGAGACCATGGGTGCAAGCCCAGATTACTATACCCAGCCAAGCTTTCATTCACTATAAATGGAGAAAATAAAATTTTCCAGGATAAAAACAAATTTAAACAATACGCAGCCACAAATCCAGCCTTACAGAAAGTAATTGAAGGAAAATCACTAACCAAGGAGTCCAACAATGACCACAATAACTCAGACATCTAGAGACCCTTCACCAACACAAAACAAAGAAGGGAAACACACAAACTCTACGACTAAAAAAAAATGACCGGAGTTAACAACCACTGGTCATTAATATCACTTAATGTCAATGGACTCAACTCACCTATAAAAAGGCACAGGCTAAGAGATTGGATAAGAAAACAGGATCCAACATTCTGCTGTTTACAAGGAACACACCTCAACCACAAAGACAGGCACCTACTCAGAGTAAAGGGCTGGGAAAAGGCCTATCAAGCAAATGGACCTAAGAAACAGGCAGGTGTGGCCATACTAATCTCTAACAAAGTTGACTTTAAACTTAAATCAATCAGAAGAGATGGAGAGGGGCATTTTATACTCATAACAGGAACAGTTCATCAGGATGAAGTCTCAATCCTGAACATCTATGCCCCTAATATAAAAGCACCCACGTACATAAAAGAAACATTGCTAAAATTCAAGGCAGCCATCAAACCGCACACACTAATAGTAGGAGACTTCAACACTCCTCTCTCACCAATGGACAGGTCAATCAGACAGGAACCTAACAGAGAAATAAGAGAATTAGTGGAGGTAATGAATCAAATGGACTTAACAGACATCTATAGAACATTCCATCCAAATAGGAAAGAATATACCTTCTTCTCTGCAGCTCATGGAACCTTCTCGAAAATCAACCACATAGTCGGTAACAAAGCAAACATCCACAGTTACAAAAAAATATTAGTAACCACCTGTGTCTTATCAGATCACCATGGATTAAAGTTAGAATTCAACAATAATGCTACCCCCAGAAAGCATACAAAGTCATGGAAACTGAACAGTCAACTATTGAACCATAGCTGGATTAAGGAAGAAATAAAGAAAGAAATTAAAGTCTTCCTGGAATTCAATGAAAATAAAGAAACAACATACTCAAACTTATGGGACACTATGAAAGCAGTCCTAAGAGGAAAGTTCATAGCACTAAGTGCCCACTTAAAGAAAACAGAGAAAGCTCTCATTGGAGACTTAACAGCCCACCTGAAAGCTCTAGAAAAAAAAGAAGCAGACTCACCTAGGAGGAGTAGAAGACTGGAAATAATCAAAATGAGGGCTGAAATCAACAAAATAGAAACACAGAAAACAATACAAAAAATCAATGAAACAAAAAGCTGGTTCCTGGAGAAAATCAACAAGATTGACAAACCACTATCCAAGCTAATCAAACGGCAGAGAGAGAATTTGCAAATTAATAAGATCAGAAATGAAAAGGGGGACATAACCACAGA